CACCTCTTCATTTCTGTTTCTCAGATCTCCTCACTCTCTGCTTTTCAAGTCCCAGGTCCATAACCAGTCCTTTGATATATCTGGTTTTCATGAGCCTCTCACCCCAGCTGTCACCTAGGAGATAGCCACTTTCTCTTTAGAGAAGACTTTCCCAGAGGATGAAGTCAATGCAGACGGGGGTCAGTCTGCTGTATCACTTTCTTTTATCATTAAGGGAGGCAAGAGACTTTTCCAGTGCAGAATGTCTCAAAAAATCTGGTTTAAATATTCCTGTGATCTACAGCATAGGAGGAAGCTACCCCACCTCACCTACCAGCCTCTCTTTTCCTCCTAAGCATACTACAGACAACTCATTCTATACAAATCCCTAAAGTGCTATAAGAGGACATGTGAATGAAGAAAAGAGGGTAGCTTGTTTTTATATCAATGGCGTCTTTTGTTTATTTATTCTCTTTATGCAGACCACAGCTGTGTAGATATGACCTTGTACTGCTGGAAAACACTGAAATAATCTTCAAACCTATTCCATGTCAAAACATGCAAACTTGAGCCAAGGAAGACTCAGCTGTACGCCAAGTTATACTGACAACAGCACACATATTATGGGGGAAATGGCAGGGGGGAAAAAAGGACTCATTTTCAAGTGTCTTCACATCTTGTCTTCTATGGATGTCAAACTACAGTGCAATTCCTCATGCTCCCCAGGTATCCTGCTGCCCATGTAGAGACTCTCAAATGCATTTATGGTGGTGTAGTATTAAAAAAACAATGTTTTAGACTCAGAGTGTCTTCCATCCAAGGAACTCAGAGTGCTTCCCAAACATAAGCTATTGAGGAACAGCAAGGATAAACTAACCATCTTCATTTTGACTAGGAAACGATTGGTTATAAAACAATGATTTAAAATTATTAATTTTTTAAAAAGATGGAGGTGTCATTTTCAGACAGTATTTTTGGCTTATTAACTTCTTACAATAGGTATGGTTATTTCATGATGAAACTACCATTTTGAGTAGCAATCAGAATAGGACTTTTCTTTCCACTGAAAGCAATGATTTGCTACATGTGCATACGCATACCTAATAAAAGTTAAAGCTAAATAACTGGCATTATATGTAGTAATCGTCACTTTCATTCTGATAGTAACAACTTAGAAGTGAAACATTCCTTTTTACATAAAGCAAGTTTTCAAGTTTGTGATTTTGGTAGTTAGGACTTTATACAGAAAAAGTTTCTTTAAAACAGTGATATCAGGCAAGGAACCTTAGAATCACAAGTTGAAACACCCTCATGCAGAAGGACAACTTTACCATAAACACGTATGGTGAATAATGTTTAGAAAGAGGCCAGAACCAAATTCTGTGGCTCATAACTTCATCAAATCTCTGACCACAAGACCGTGTCAAATTTCAAACCCTAGCTCAAAACCTGAGAGACTCTTCAAAAAAAAAAAACAGATGGGACATTTTATATTAGCAAATCTACCTGTTTTTCATGTTCATAGAATATCAAGGTTAGAAGGGACCTCAGGAGGTCATCTAGTCCAACCCCCTGCTCAAAGCAGGGCCAATCCCCAGACAGATTTTTGCCCCAGATCCCTAAGTGGCCCCCTCAAGGATTGAACTCACAACCCTGGGTTTAGCAGGCCAATGCTCAAACCACTTAGCTATTGTTCTCAGAAATTTTTAATAAATTGAATTTTTACTAAAGCTTTGCATAAAAATTCAGCCTGAGGCCAAAACACAGCTGTAGTGAGGTATGCTCTTAGAGCTCTGGTGCCTCCTACTGGCCCATCTGGAGATTAGCTTGCCACATGATCTGACACCCCTTCCTGCAACTGCTCAGCCCGTCATCCTATTCACTTACTCTATAGCCTCCCCCTTGCTCCCAGAGTTGCAGCACTTTCCTCTTAAAGGCTTAACTCTCTGGCTAAGTCACATTGAAATTCCCCCTCTTCCACGGTATTATCAAAGTCTCCTTCCAAACTGTCCCTGGCAGTCTCCAGATAGGTTGCCCCTAGCATGCCCTTCCTGCAGTGACTTGTGGGGGAACTCAGGCCCACCCCCTACACTGGTTTCCAGTCAAGGGACCCTCAATCCAGCAGCTCAGGTCTTTACTCTCCCAACCCTTACTGCTCCTTCCTTAAATGGCCTCCTACACTGCCTATCAGGCTCCTACTCCTCTCCCTTGTATCAGGGACTGTGACTGAGGCTCTCTCACTGCAGGCCCTTCTTCTGTTGCCAGCTCTCTGGTTTTATAGAAGCCCCACTTCTTTCTGCCCAGGTGAGCTTCATTCCCAGCTAAGCCTCACTGGGTCTGTCTACATAGGAAAGAAAACCCACAGCTGCGCCAGCCGACTCAAGCTTGCGGGGCTCAGACTGCGGAGCTGTTTCATTGCTGTGTAGATCTCTAGGCTCGGGCTCTAGGATCCTGTGCAGTGGGAGCCCTGAAATCTATGCAGCAATGAAACAGAACCTGCAGCCTAAGTCAGCTGGCACAGGCCAGCCACAAGTTTTTCTTTCCTGTGTATACATACTCATTGGATCCTTTTTTCCCTCCAGGTGCAGCCTATGACTAATTGGCCTCTCTTGCCTATATTAACCCTGGGATGAACACTCCATCACAGAAAATTTCAGCCACTGTTTAATAATGATAAACAATTGATAATAGGGGGTTACAATGGAAAGTGCTAGACAACCTTGATATAGAGGTCACTACCAATGTCTCCTATAATATAGTGCCACACACACATCTATCTATCCTTTATATAATGGTTTTATTGGCAGGAACGCTGCATGACTCATGCCAATAAAACCTTCATACAGCACATCATCATCATGCACTTTGTTCAGGACACCTATTGTACAGTAAAACTATTTTAAATACTTTCTGGGAATTATTTTTTATATATTGCTGCCTGTAAAGCCAGGCTTCCTTAGCAGTGTGAATCCAACTCTAAAGGCTTCCACAGGAGAGAAAAATCATAATTGATATAATTGTAGACATCTAAAAAGACATAAAATAGCTTTTCCATATATAGAAATGTAATTGTAATGGCCAGTATTCCAGGATCTTTTAGGGAGAGATGCAAGTGTGTGCACCACTGGGAAACTGGGACTAAAACTCTCTCTACTAGCCCCCAAAAGATGTTCAGCCTTAAACCTATAGTAAGTACAGGACTGACTATTGTTCATCCCAGGGCAAAAATTCCACATATGTCAGGGGGGAAAAGGAAACGTTTCTCTGGCAGCTTGGTGGGGTAGCAGTGTTGGGGGGTACAATGGCAGCACAGGCACATGCCTACAACAAATTATTATGGCCAAAATAAAATGAGAATAAGAATCTTTCCTTTCTCTCACCCTTCGTCTGTGTGGCCTATTTAGGTTCAACACTTTCTGGTGCAGTGACTGTCTCCTACTCTGTCTGTGCTGGGGCCTCATCTCAGTTGGAGCTCTCTAGGGTCTACCATAATACAAATAATAATACAAAAAGGACTAAGAACTCATCTTTGCCACTGACTTAAATTCGAGTTGTGGGTACTCAGTACTTTTTTATACTATTACACTCTACCTTGATAGAACACTGTCCTTGGGAGCCAAAAAATCTTACCGCGTTATAGGTGAAACCGCGTTATATCGAACTTGCTTTGATCCACCGGAGTGCGCAGCCCTGCCCCCCCCGGAGCACTGCTTTACTGCGTTATATCCAAATTCGTGTAATATTGGGCCGCGTTATATCAGGGTAGAGGTGTATTTGTGTTATGGTGGACCCTAGAAATACCCAACTGAGATCATGCCCTGGTACAGACACAGAGTAGGAGACAGTCCCTGCACGCAACCCAATTAATATTAAAAAGGGGGAAGGAATGAAAGCCAAAATAGGGAAAGAACAAGTTAAAGACTATTGGATAAATTAGATGTATTCAAGTTGGCAGGGCCTGATTAAATTCCTCTTATAGTACTTAAAACACTAGCTGAATTAATCTTGGAACCATTAGCAATTACCTTTGAGAACTCCTGGAGGATGGGTGAGGGCCCAGAAGACTGGAGAAGGGTAAGTGTACCTATCTTTAAAATGGAGAACAAAGAGAACCCAGGGAATTATAGGTCAATTAGCCTAACTTTGATACCTGGAAAGATACTGGAACTAATTATTAAACAATTTGTCAGCACCTGGAGGGTTATAAGGAATAGCCAGCATGGATTCGTCAAGAACAAACCACGCCAAACCAACCTAATTTCCTTCTTTGACAGGGTTACTGGACTAACAGATTGCAGGGAAGCAGATGTGAGATATCTTGATTTTAATAACGCTTTTGACACAGCCCCAAAGGACATTCTCTTAAACAGGGGAAAAGGGTAGAGATGAATTTACGAAAAGGTGGGTGCACGTCACGCTGGGTTGAAAGGCTGTGCCCAGAGTAGTTACCAGGAGTTCATTGTCAAACTGGGAGGCCACATCTCGCGCGGTCCCACAGGGGTCAGCCGCTATTCAACACTGTCGTTAATAACCTGGCTCAGGGAGGTGGAAATACGCGTATGAGGCGGACAGCGAGCTGGGAAGCAGGCCCGGGATTCAGTGACCGCGCCAACCAGACACTGGTCTGAACTCGGCAAGGCGGAAGTCAATGAGGCGCGGCGCAGAGCAGGACACTCCGAAGGGAAAATCCCGCGCACAGGCCCCCGGGGGCTACTGCCGAACAGGCTCGGGGGCGCCAGTGACACAAACTCACGATGAGCCAAGGCGGGAAACCTACGAGACCCCGCCCCGCTGGCCCGGAACTCCCGCTGATACCTGGGGCGGGGCGGGGCGGGGCCTCAGGCCGCACGGGAGCCAATCGCTCTCATGCGGGCGGGCGAGGCCTCAGCAGCGCGCGCATGTTAGTAGCAGCAGCCGGCCTGTGTCACGTGGTTACACTCACGTGGCTCCGTGGGCTGAGCCGCCGGTCGGTCACATGATCGCCCGCCCGCCCGCCCGCCTGCCGCGGACCACTGGTACCTGCGCTCCGCGGCTCCCGCGCCGGGATGCGGCCGCTCTGCGGTTTCCTGGTGCTGCTCGGGGCCGCTTCCTGCGGCCTCTACCTGCTGTCGGCGCGACTGCACCCAGGGGGCCCGCTCGGGGCCGGCAGGTGGGTGACGGCCCGGGCCCAGCCTCCTCCCCCTCCTGGCCCGGTCCAGCTCGGTTCCGGTCCTGTCCCCTCTGGCCTGGGAAAGCGGCTCCTCCCTGCTGCGGGAGCCGCCCACATTTCACCCCCGTGCCAGATCTGGGGCGCGTCTGACGGCACAGCTCTCGCTGTGAGCCCTGGGTCACTAGAGCTGGGCACGAGCGTCCGTGGGCTGCTGAGGGGGGCTGGCTCCCCAGGCCCGTGGTGCTGCCAGTGCCCATGGTGTGGAGCACAGGGCCGGGCCTGCAGGCGGGGTGCTGAAGTTCTGGGGTCCGGGAACATGTTGGCCAACGGGCCGGGCCATCTAGGGCTTTACTGTACCTGCAGCCCACCGTTCTAGCATCCTGGAGCCGCTTTCGAGAAAAGCCTTTGACCCTCCCTTCGTCTGTCTGTCACCCCGCAGCCAGACTTTGCAGGATGGTGGCGCTGTGGGAAATGTGCTTTGCTGAAGGAATGCTGTGATGCCTTGGGGTGTCCTGGAGAAAAGCCCAGAGGAGAATGACTGTTGTGATCTAATGTATGTGCACATTTTGCAATGGGGAATGGCAGCTCTCAGGTGCATGCACTCTTTCCCTGTGTGAAAAGATCTTAAATGATTCCAGAGTCAGGAGGGTTTTCTCTATCTGATTTTGACTGAGCATGATGTTCAGGATGAATGGGTGAAATATTGGATTTTTGTTGGCCTGTAAATATAGGGTGGCAGCCTAAAAATATATCCCCACCATGTGATGATCTTTGCAGGGTGTGAAATCCATAGAAATGTGGTGTTGCATGTTCTGAGCTATGTTTAGCCATAGCAAGTCAGTGTGAAATCAGATCTTTGAGAAGTTTTGAAACCAACAATGTTGGTGCCGGTCATCTTTGGCTTGACATATCTTCCTAGGATCCTTCACCTATCCTGACTGCTAGGATTTGGAAGATGTTTTGTTTTTTATTCCTTTGATTTATATTGTAGCAAGAAAGTCCCTCTCCAGAGCTGTAGGTGTCCTTGATATTTCTTTAAAACAACAAATAGCAAAAAGGCAAGTGCTCCAGCAAATTCCATTATGCACCAGCAATAGCTGACTGATGGTATGTCTGTACTACAGAGACTCTACCTGCATAGCTAGGTTGCTGTAACTATGCCAGCATAACCCCATAGCATAGATGCAACCTACACCTCCAGAAGAGGTTTTTCCGTCGGTGTAAGACTGCTACATCCCTGATGATGGTAGTATTCTTCCATTGATATAAATGTGTTTGCACTGAGGGCTGGGTTGGCATAACTATGGCATTCAAGGGTTTGATACTTTTTTTCCACGCATGTTGCCCACTTAGCTATGTCGACCTTTTAAGTGTAGACCAGGCCTAGCCCTTACATCAGCACTGTATAAAGAAAATACCCTGCTTCTGAAGTAGCAGCCCTCAGGTAGTGTCCCCCTTCCCAAAAGCTCCTGTAAAAGGAGGGGCTGTGGAATGTGCTCTGAAAGGCAACACATTTGGACCATATGACACCTAGGACGAATAAATTCCGAAGCGGAGGACCCTCATAGAGAATACCCCACTCATGGCGCCTCTGAAACAAAGGGCCTTCTGCTTCTCTGCACTGTGGCATTATGGTTCTGGGAGAGTGACTGCTCAAGTAGGCAGGTCCAAGGCCACGTAACTCTCAGTCAAACTATCTGTTTTTTACAGCAAGCACAAAAGCCTAAACACATGCCATCCATCTCTAGTTGGGATTCCTTTCGATTTTTAGCTCTGCCTAACAAAGGTTTGGCTAGCTTTGAGCCCATTGTTGCCCCAAAACCAGTAATTGCCACCCAGAAAACCAGTAAAAGCAAGCAATAGCCCACCCCACCCACAGGTACCAGCTCTCATTGCATCACTTAACTCTGGATTCTAACATACCATTTGCTGTGTGTTACCTGAGTTTGTTCTCCAGGCCCCTGTGCTCTTTGGGGCAGAACCTCAGCTGGTGCAAATTGTCATAGCTCCACTGAGGTCAATGGAGCAAGGACAATTCATACCAGCTGAGGATCTGACCCTGTTGAAGACCTGCTCATGCCTTGCTCCAGGCATGAAACCAGGTGACTTGTACTGACCAGTGACTCTTCTTAGCTTAATGTTATTTTGCTAATAAGGTGCAAAGAGGTCTCTGACTGTCAAGGGTAGAAGGCTGTTGTGGAGCATCGCAAGTGAAAAACACGTGCGTGCGTGCACGCAGTGAAAACTCCTTTAATGATGAGCAGGGTGAATTTGATTTAAATCACTAGTCAGGAAGACACTATTTAATCATGGATTTCTACATAAAAGTGCATTCTTGTTGGTTGTTATAACCTTAATACATATTCTTCACAACTCAGAGATAGATGTAGGTTTCATTTTTAGAAGGTACACACTATACATTTTTAAAGTGATTTATTTTGAAAACTTTTCAGATTAGTTTTACAGCTATATCAGAAAATGGATGATTGTTTGGTTATTTCATTTACCAAAGGTAATTGAAGCAGATATTTATGAAGTCATTGGGAGGTGAACTATCTCCAGTTCAACAGGTTAATCATTAATATTTGGACGATTTTTTTGCCATGCTGTATTAAGGAGGAGAACATCACCAGGCAGACATTTAAATTGCTGTTCTAGTTAAATAAAACAAAGTTATGTATTCTGGATTTTTTTTCTTCAACAGCAAACACATAATATTTTAACAAAACAAGCATATGAAATTTTGAATTTAGTTACAGTCAAGTTTTTTAAAATCAGGTTTATTTTTGTTAAAATTGTTTTTAACTAAGATAGTTAAATGAAATATTAAAAAAAAAAATAAAATAGACTATGTCAGCCAGGTCAACATGAGAAATGTAAAATATTGGCTTCTGCATCTAACTCAGTCGTCTTCATCTTCATTTTCCTGTTTGTTCATAATCTGGAAAAGAAAAACAAGCTTTCCTGCTTTTTCAGGTCCCAAACAATTTCTCAATTTGGAATGAATTAGTCCAAAGGAAGAAAATATTCTTTCTACACCGGCAGAAGAACCTACTGCTGTTAAAAGCGAGATTATCACTTCAACAGTCTCTGAATCCAAGTGCTTAAGTGACTTCCACCAGTTCACTGGTGTGACTTTCTTTAAAACATCATCAGCAAACATGTATTTCTTGAATGGTTCTTAGTCCCAAACTGGGTCTCTTTTATGGCCTGCTGCCATTATAGGTTTTCCCTTCTAGTGAGAGAATGGAATGGTAGCTCTCAAATCAATGAAGGCTACACTCAGAAAGACCTCAAGACTTCTGGAATATGCTGTTCAACCAGTTTCACTTTTGTTTCTACTGCCAGTCCCTCCCTTCTCACATTTATCTCCAGACTTCTTCTCCTTGTCCAGATCTATTCCGCCCCCAACAATCTTCTATTCATTGAACTTTCTGAAACTTTGTACTTTTAGAGAGAGGTAAGGGATTGACTCTGTGTACACAAATGTGCAGAGGGACAGTAGGGTTGAGGTCTGTTATTTCTCACCTCTATATATTATTTGATTTATTTAAAAACATTTTTGCTGTTAAAAAGCATGTTATCTCTGGAGACACAAATCCACAGTTTGGGAACTGCAAAATTAAGCATCTCTGATGGTATCTTCTAGACTGAGCACTGAGTTCCATTGGGTAGATAGAAAGATTAACCTAAATAATCTATACAGAAGCTCCTGGAACCCCATAAAATTGGGTCCCTAATCCATGAACTATTGGAACTCATTTACAAAACTATTCTTAAACATTACATGAATATATTGTCTCATACTAGAGAATTAGAATTTATAATCCCTGTTCCATGATGAGATACATTATAGCTCAAAGATATCTTAATTAAAAGGTCTTTAGATCAGATTTTTTTGAGAAAATGTTTTTTGAGGGGAAACCCCCCCCCCTTTTTTTTTTTTTTTTAATCCATCCTGATGATGTGTAGAGATGTGGACTCCACTCTGGAACTGGAATGCCAGTGTGTGGCCCCTCGCACAGACTGACATCTTCCAGACTGCTGTCTGGCTCTGTAGAAAGGATGTGGTATTCTTTAAATGAACTGTGTAGGCCAGCAGAGGGCTGGACGTTCTTTTAATTTTTCAGAGAGAAGAGGGGCAAACAGATGCCTAGAGGTAAGACAAAAGGCGGGAGGCTTGAATGTGTCCCCTTGATTTTTCTCTCTGAGTGAATTAACACATTGGCTCTGAGACGGGATTCAGGCCATGATATCTAAGAATGGGTGTCTGTCTGTTAAGCTCATTTTATCTTTCTCTGTAACAGAGTTTCCCCAAGATGGAACAAATCCTGATAACCACGTAGGTTTTGTATGGTTGACAATTTGTTTCCTATACGCACTTTGTTGATGACAGTGATAGTAGATGCACTATCTTTTTAACTGCGTTGCATTTTATGGGTGTTTCAGACAACAATGGACAAGTGTCACCTGCTCGTCTTCCCCAGTCAGGTCGTATGCTAGTCCAAAGAGTAGATTGTGGAAAACAGTGATACCAACAGCCCTTGGACTGGAATGAGTGTGGCTGTCTTAACATTGTAGACCAAGCTGGATGAGTAAGCATCTCAGAGAGGTGATTAAGAAAAAGCAGAAAGTTTTCCTTGCTGATCCCTCCCATCTTCCACTCCTTGTAGGCTATCTTATTGAGGTCAGAACATGTAGGGATAAAGTGAGACAGGCCAAAAGCCATGTAGAGTTGGACCTTGCAAAGGGAATTAAAACCAATAGTAAAAGGTTCTATAGCCATATAAATAATGTAAGCAGAGTCAGGATGAGCTCTACCCTGACATCTGGTGGTGAATTATGGCGAGTATGGAAAAGAACTCCAGGGGCTGATCTTGTTTGCATAGGCACACCCACTCGCCTGGCATGAAACACAGCAACTGAAAGTGGTTACTTTGGCTGGTGTGGGATCCCCAGTTTCTCTATTATTGGGGCAGGAAGAATAAAGTTTTGTTACC